CCATTCAGAATCTGCTGGCGCAGAGCAGGGGAAACTGGGGAGGGGCGAGTCAGGGTTGAGGGGGGGCGAAGGGGGTTGGGTGCTGCTGTGGATAGAGAGTAGTGGTTAGAATGATGGGAAGGAACATAGGGTGTCGAGAGAAGGGGATTGGGGAAGGATAAGGGGAGAAATGAAGGCGCAGGAGGTGTAAAAGGGGCCCCGAGATGGCCGGTCATTGAGCCGGGGCTGCAGATGGTAAAGGTAGAGATGAAGGAGGTAGATAAGGAGCTTGAATGTGCTTGCTAGAAAAGGGGAGGGGAGCGGAAAAGGGTTGAGAAAGAGATGGGAGGGAAGAAAAAGAGACAGAGGGATGAAAGGATGAATGAACAGAAGGGATGACTGAGGCCCGACTGGCCTGGGGTTGAACGACTGGGTCAACGTGGGAGGGTTGGGATGAGGAGGGTATGGGAACAGGAGCCGAAAAGGGTTGAAAAAGAGGTGGGAGGGAAGAAAAAGAGACAGAGGGATGAAGGGATGAATGAACGGAGGGGATGAGTGAGGCCTGACTGGCCTGGGGTTGAACGACTTGGTCAATGTGGGAGGGTTGGAATGAGGAGGGTAAAATAAGAGAAGGTTCAGAAACGACAGAGGGTGATACGACCTGACTCCCACTTGGGAGAGCTGTTGGCGCTGGCATGGACCCGGCTGGAGTTGGGGCTGTGACGTCACCGCTGAAGACAGAGGTGGAAGTAGTCTGGTGATGGGGTTGTAGCTGGATCGTTGGAGCTGGGTGCCGATTTTTGGATGGCTGAGCTGTAGAGGAACACTGAAGATGAATTGAGGTGAGTAGCTGAAAGGGGGTGGACTTGGAGAATGAGCGGTTGAAGCGGTTGAAAGGAATTCCTCTGTCCTACAACGCGCTACGGAGCTCTGCTGCGGTCCATCCTGAGGGAGTGAGGTGGCTTGTGGGTGCAGATGAGGAACGCCGTGCCCGGGTAGGTGCAGCGGGTCGGGGAGAAGCGGGATGAAGAGGCCGACTGGAGCGGCGGAGGAGCCCGCGGCCGCGGGGCTTGGACTCGGACTGAGGAGCGGCGGAGGGTGGAGGCGCTGGAGTTGTTGCGAGTTGGGAGGAGGACGGGTGCGGTGGGTAGGGCTGTAAACGGGCACTCCGGCGAGGGATATGCCTGACGACAGAAGGCGGGGGAACTTTGCGGGGCGGTTGGAAGCTGAAAAGGGGGTCGTCCGAATCGGGATCCAGGAAGAGGACGTCCATGGTGAGTAGAGAAACTCCGTCTTTTCTTTCTTTTCTTTTCTGAAAACGCTTGCGCGGTACGAACACGTGTCGAGACAGCAAGCTAAGGGCAGATGCCAGGTGAGACGAGTTTAAATAGACGATGACTGATTGCTGCAGGTGATAGGCGTAGTCCTGCTCCTGAACCTAAGTTAATGTCTTAACTTCATTTTACCAAAAATCCTGGGGAAAAGGAGATGGATGTGAGTCATTTATTATATATGAAATGAAAGGAAGCGCCGCAGGAGACTCTAGCTAACGGTGTTTTTACGTCACATGGTACAGCTAGATGTGTCACTGTTCCCTGCTTTGTTTTCCATCTGAGAAAGTATYGGTGTGAACAGAATCTGCAGAATATTACTGGAGCTTCGGTGAGCTCCAGAAACAGAAGGCAGGCAATACTGTAATTGTGTATTTTTACAGGATTTACAACACAAGTTTGTGGTARCTTATTCACCTAAAGCCTACCCTCCCTCCTTCACTTCCTCAGATGTGTTAACATCCTAAAACTCCTCTCCTTTTTCTGACAATACAAACTCAACAGAATCATATAGTGTACACACTGTGGTGATCTGTACTAAAGAATAAATCCAAAGTAGAGCACAAGTATAGAGCTAAGGCATTACTTTGGTACAAAGATTATGAATAATTAAAGTGATAAGGTCTCTGAGGAAATATAGCATGCAAGTTTAAGATAAAAGCCTTGTCATTTTCACTGGAAAGTGTTGACTATAAATCTTAGTTTTACAATTACTAAATGAACAATATGGGACAACATGCTGAGTAGTCTCACTGTGGCTTATTGGATTTAAAACTTAAAGTAATATTGTAGAAGAGTTCATTAAAGTGTAAAACAGTATCAAAGTGATCCTAATATAATTAAAGACTTTGCATTTTTTAAGGAATTTATATCACCCACAGCCAGGGGTGGACTGGCATACGTCTCCCGGGAGTTTTACCGGTGGGCCGATCGGTTTGTGGGTCAATGAGCTGCCAGTGTTTCAGTGTTTCGTGCTTGTTCCCATGGTCACCACAGCGCATGCTTGTTTTTTGGGGCCACGATGCCTCTAACAATCTTCAGTCAGCTGATCTGCTCAGAGTGAGGTTGGCCGCTGAGTGCACTTCTAAACGCTACAGATTAATAACTAAGAAGACATGAATTTGAAATGTTTTGTCCCTGCTACAGCCACATATAACTCTCTGTTTGTCTCTTTACTCCAAGAGAGAGATGCACGGTGCTGTGGCTCCAGYTCGTCATTCCTCTGTGGAACATCATCTGTCAATCACCAGGGGCGCAACAAGTGAGGGGGCCAGGAGGGGCACGTGCCTCCCACCCCACCCCACCCCAAAAAAATTTGGTGACCCCACTAGTTTTATCATTGCTTTGTGCTCATGTTATTCCCCCTAGCTATTTGGAATTAGTAAAACTTTCTAAATATAAAAATGTTTTTGCAAAGCAAACAGTTAAGTATAAAAATTTTACTTAACATAAAAAATAAACTTCAAATAGTCCTTCTGAATAAAGACAATCAACATAAAACAAATGTCATCAACATTAGGATGCATGTTCTCATGAGGTTAGATTATYATTAGATCATTATTTGTAGAGGCATTACTTTGTTTTAGAAGCCAAAGAAGAAAAAAGTACAACTGGTCTATTCTGAAACTGTAGACTAGTGTTGTAGTACTTGAGACCGGTCTTGGTCTTAAGACCACTTTTTGTTGGAACTGGTCTTGTCTCGGTCTTGGACATTGAGGATTTGGAATTTTATTTCAAGACCAGTCAAGACCACAACCGCGGAAATACAGTATCACTAAATAGCCAGATTATTGTCCAATTTATTAGTTAACATTCTTGCTTTCATTGGATTTAAAATGTAGCTACTGATTCAAATCCAAAGCTGACTCGTTACTATTTATGTATTTTTTGTTACCGGCTGACACCCATCCCCACCCCGTCAATTGCACGCAGCACTCCAGGAAAGTGAACCGTGGTTCTCTGGGAGTGGAAGAAGATGTCTGCAAAACTTTAAGTAAAACAATTTGGCTACATAGACAATATCATTGTCTATCATGTCTATCGTCTATCATGTCAATCATCTATCATGTCTATCGTCTATCATGTCTATCATCTGTCATCTGTCATCTGTCACAACCATCATTGTAAAATAACCAGGAGAAAGTGTACAGCAACTCGTAAATTCTGCAGTGCTTCAMTAGTAGTGAAGAGATGAGACAGGTTTTATAAAAGCAGAGGGAGAGAGGATAACGGGCAATAGCTGAGGAGGGACTGATTATAGAGCACTGACAGGTGAGTGTCAGGGAAAATGACAGGTAAACAGATGGAGGTGAGATAACGAGTGATGACACAAAGAAAACACAAGAGGGAGACAACACACAAGACACAGACAATGGCCATGTTTCCATCCAATTGTAATGTGAATTTTGAGAAAAATTTAAAATGTCATAAAAAGGAAAAAAACAAGAAATGCCAATCTGGCATGTTTCCATCTACTGGTTTGAGACGACTCAACCAGGCTATGCAAAGTATAATTATATCGGACATTGACGGTACTCATGGCTGTAATAAACAGGAAGTAGAGATTGCAAACTAGCAGGGACCACACACCTCAGAACAATGGAGAGACGTTTTCAGGAATGTGTTGGGCAAGTTGTAATCTTTCTGTCATCAACTAGTATTGGTGATGTTACATGCTATCCAGAGATGTAGAGAAAGAAATGCAATTCTATTTGCGTTACGGGAATATCCGGGAAGACGCCGACAGCAGGAACATCTGATCAATCGTGAGGTAAATGYTCGCTATATCAAAACGTATTTTGCAAATGTGTTTCCATCTCCCCTTTTGCACATTAACTCTTTTTGGAAACTCCTAAAACCACCTCATGTGAGTGTAAAAACTTTTTTGCAAAATTGAGGAAGGTTTTTCTAACTTTGCCATTTCCATCAATCATTCCTAATGCAATACTTTAAAATGCACATAAAAACTATGCTGCAAACACTGTGTGCACAATCTCAAAAGTTTAACCAATTTGGCTACAACTTTGTCGTTTCTTATCATAATGTGATTTTAGATAAATCTCTGGCATGAATGGCGACARGCGACATGGAGCCCTTTACGGAACACTAGGCCTTTATTTTTTCTGTGTATGYCAACATTGTTTGAGTTTTATTTTTTAAAAATTCCTGCTAAAAAAGAAACCATGACAGTAAAGTTGTCGCCACTTCTTCCACTTTCAGTCCTCTGGTGTCAGTCTGTGGTTCCTCAGCTGATCCCACCTGTCATTGTGGATCCACTTAAAAAACAAGTCCCTGTTCAGTAGAGCAGTCAGGCTGCATCTTAAACAGACAAACACCCGACTTCAGGTGGTCTGCATGCTTYACCCATGCAAATGATGCAGGAAAGAGAAGCAGTGAGAGGAGAAGAAATGGAGCTTCAGCTCCGGCTGGAGCTGAAGATTTAACAACACGTTAGAGCAGCACTGATGTTTGTAAGGAAGCACCCACTTCTTTCTGGTTTTGATTTGACTAAATTTACAATATTGTATATAAAACTGTATTTTTATTTTGTCGTTACAGAATATTGAATGTAAAGTAAAATGAGTTGTGTAGCATTAGGCTGCAACACAGAGTAAAGTGTGTTTGAACAGTTTCTGAAGCTGCTGCCATCACTCAGGGACCCACTGACTGTTTGGAGCTARTCCTACCTGGGTTAGCATGTTTCTGCGGTCAGTTTCCATGTACAGGGGCAAGTATTTGTGTAGGATCCGAAGAGCGTGCTGTTTAAAGATGGCTGCGATGTACAGAGTGCACTCCACAACAGACACGGGCTTGGTAAAGACCCTGTACACAAAGAGCGCCCCTTCCTCCGATGTGGTTCCTGCAGGAGAGAAAACAGCTAAAAGACACGTTGTGATTCAGTCAACTTTTTTCTGAAGTATGACAGTGTTTGTTAAATATTCTGAAAACTTCACATAAAATTGTCCTGTAATGAGGACCTGTGGGAACAGTGTTGTTTCTGCCCCTGTGTTGGTGAGACTCTTACCCAGCAGCACCGTCTTCTCTTTCTGCCAGTGGCCCTTCTGAAAGGCAGAGACAGCCTGCTCTTTAATCAACTCCCCATCAATATTTGGACCCCACATCTCAAAAACCTCCAGGAACCTGAACGGGTTCACAAGTTTTGAACCTGGAATTAAGACATTAACAGTGTCAGAAAAGGTATTAAACTAAATAAATAAATAAATAAATAAATAAATAAATAAATAAATAAATAAATAAATTAGATAGCAAAGGTATACTGTTCTTTATTTATTAAATGTGAGGATTTGTGGTCTTGTTTTGTGTTCTGTCTCACACTGGTGCTCTCTCGTCATTACATTCTCTCCTCTGTTGTTTACCTGTCATCACTTAACCACACTCCCCTGTTAGTATTTTTGTAATTATTAATAATTTTGTCATTTCTCAGCTATTGCTCATTCTCCTCCCTTCCTCTGTTAGTATTCATTCGGTCTCAGTTCTACACTACCTTGCTGGTTTGTTGTATGGATTCATCCATCAGTCTTGGTCCTCTGTTCCCTGTGGCTCCCTGCGTTTTTTTGTAAGTATTTTGCTGCCATGTCAGCCTTTTGTTTTATTTAATAAATAGTTTATTTTTTTAGTTTTCATGTCTGCCTGCTTCTGGGTTCATTCACCCCTCAACACGACATTAAAGGTTTGAAATGTTTTCAGAGTATTGTCTAAAACAGAGGTCTTCAACGATGGGGTCGTGAATTGTGAAAAAGAATGCAAATATTTTAAATGTGGTTCAGAAATGGCTTAGAGTGTTTGGGTTTAGATTAGATTAGATCAACTTTATTGACCCCAAGGGGGCAATTTGCTTTGTAGACAGCGAAAAACAAACAACTGCAGATAATAAAATAATTTWAAAAAAACCACATCATGTAGCACATAGTACAATAATATACCATAACAGTTTATCTGGGCTTTTATCAAATTATTGATGAGGCCGACACTAACGGGGATAAATGAACATTTATATCTTTTTGTGTTACATTTTATCTCCATGTATCTACGAGCAGAAGGCAACAACCTGTAATGGCAATGAAGAGGGTGAGCTGGGTCAGCAAGTACAGCTTTAACCTTCCTTGTGTCTCTGGTTCTGTAGAGCTGGGGGAGCTCTACCAGACGTATCCTTATCATTTTTCTACACACCCTTACAACGCTGTTTAGTATGTGCTTATTTTTCAGGGTAAGAGACTCAAACCAACAAATAAAAGAAAATGTTAAAGCTGACTCGATAAAACAAGAGTAAAACATTTTCATAAAAACACAGTCAGCATTAAAACTTCATAATTTCTGATTTAAAAAAAAACAAGTGCTGTTGGGCCTTAGCACAGACTTTATAAGCCTCAAAGGTCAAGCAGTTGTCAATAATTGTACCAAGGCATTTGTAATGTTGCTCATGGATATAAAATGAAGGACATGGAGGAGGCTTATTTCTAAAATCAATCAACACCTCTTTGGTTTTAGAGACATTAATATCCAGAAATGAGTGTTCACACCAGCCAATAAAATCATTCACCACAGAGACATGATCCCAGTAATGGTTATAAAACAAAGACATAATTACAAGGTCATCAGCAAACTTTATGATGTGCCTGTCCTTAATTTGACTCTTGCACTCATCAGTATATAAAATAAATAAAAGTGGTGAAAGGACAGTGGAAGATAAAAGTACATCAGAAAGAGTACCATTAACTGTTTGTTAAAGGGATCTATGATTAGTTGTGATATTAGACTTTCTTTTTGATAAACATATATTTTAACTGTAAAACAAAGACTGTAAAAATACTGTAGGCTGTTTAGTTTTGTAAATTTTTCAAAATATAGTTTAACATGAACAGAGCCATTTTATTTAAACACAAAGCATTCTGGGTAAATGATTACATGGATAGGTCATCAGTGTGAGGCTGCTAGTGAGCTATATGWAGGGGACCAGCTATATTTGTGTTGTAGGACATGAACTTCCCCACACACACGCACACACTCCCGGGGAATATTTTGTTATTTTGTTTTATTTTGTTTTGTAATGTAAATTACATTTTTCTGTGATCATCTTGAACTGTATTAATATTTGTTGATACCTGTAGAGGTCTAGCAGAGGGGAAATTATGATCAGAAAAAGGTCAGTTTAAACAGGCACCGAGGACAGCCCTGGGTCTTGAGCAAGTGTACAAAACGTGTTCATTGTTCAGTAGCTCGTCGCAGCCTGCAGTGTGAAGCATGTCGGATTTATGCGCCTGTTTTCTGTATTTCCAGATAAACGAAGAGTAAAGTTTTTCTAAACTCATGCATGCGTCCACGTCTCATATTGTTCGGGTGTGCAACATATATCCACCCTGAAGGTTAATCTTGGACAATATCTGACGATCGGCTCTTAAATGAAACAAAAAAAGCATTGACAGAGAGGAGAAGGTAGAAATGACTCAGCCTGTAACTGAAAATATGGATGGAGGACAACAGAGATGCTTCATGGAAGAAGAACCTCAGCTTAGCCTGTCATGCTACGTTTACACCAAATGCGTTGCACGCCTCCAAAAAACTCAGAACGCATGTATCTTGATGCTGGTGTCCAGTGAAGACAGACACATTTGATGTGAACGTAGACGCGCTTCTTTAGATGCTCGAGGGGAGGAGCCTTTTTAACCGTAGTTTCGATAACTAACCAAACATGCCGACTTCCTCACTAATCGTCCTTCAGGTAAAGTCCTTTTTTATTTCTTTCACGATAATGGACACTGGAATGATCATAAATGATCGGACTATCAGTTTTTCCTCCATTGTTTGTGTGATCTGATTTCCCGGGCTTCCGGTATGTCCGGCTCATCACCAGTACGTCACTGAGCAGATTCTCTGGTTGGTTGATGCGACGCGTCGAGCAGCAAAAGTTCAGATTTTCCAACTCATGCGTTGGACGCTTGGGACGTGCCGCACCCACGGAAAATGCTCATGACGTGTGCACCGCTTCGAACCGCACTTCTCCAAATGCGCCAGACGTGCTGCTCGGCTTCTAGACACCCCTAGATGCGCGTCCACCGTTGACTTTGCATGTAAACCAGATGCTCCTGATGCTCAAAACGCATTTGGTGTAAACGTACCATTAGCCTTTGCGCTAGTGCCGAAGCTATATTGCCTTATACGTATTAGCTCGGCACTAGTGCGACAAACAAGCTAAACTGTTGTCCTCCATCTACATTTTCAGTTGCAGGCTGCGTCGTTTCTACCTTCTCCTCTCTGTCAACGATCGCTGGTTTCATTTAAAAGAGTCGATCATCAGATATTGTCCAAGATTAACCTTCATGGTGGATATGGCTCGCTAGCAGCCTCTCACCGATGACCTATCCACGTCATCATTTACCCAGAATGCTTTGTGTGTAAATAAAATGGCCCCGTCTGTGTAATATATTTTTAAACTTTTAGTTTAAAAATGATAAAAACTGAACATCCTACAGTATTTTTACAGTCTTTATTTTACACTTAAAATATGTTTAACAAATAAAGTCTAATGTTACATGGACCCTTTTAAAAAATTAACTAGCCAACAAACTAAATCACGATTAATGTGACTGTCTAGAACAAACTTATGTGACAGTGACAAACTCTGTAAACCTTGATGGCAAACTGAGGAGGTCAACTAATTAAGCACTCCTTAGGTTCAGCTGTGTTGAACCAGGGCAGCACCTAAAACATGCAGGACACCGACTCTTGAGGACTGACTTTGGACACCACTGTTCTAGGGGGTTAAATAAATAATTTTCATTTAATAATCAGTTGTAGTACATTAYAGTTTTGGAGAATCATCATTACATTTGACTRAAGGGGTACTAGYCGTGTGACAAAATGGCTCAGGTGGTACACAAGTCTAAAAAGTTYGGGAACCACTGGTGTAAAGTCCTGAAACATYCCAGCACTTTCAGGTGRAATTTTCAGGCACTGGTCTAAGTTACTTAAGGTTGCCTTCAAAATCTCAGCTTTTATAATCTTCACAAAAGATTTCATATTGAGCGAGGTAACCAGATGGAAATCACTTTGTGTCTTAGGAAATCTCCACTTGGCCACAGGTACAACAACCAAATCTTTCCAGAGTCTTTGCAACTTGGTGAAGCTGGAGACATTTTAAAAACAGAAAAATGTCAGYCAGCTGTTCAGCATAGTTCTTTRGAAGTCTTCCCCCAATTTTGTCTGGTCCTGGACTCTTCYTCTTTAATTTTCCGAAAGATATTAGTTACTATTCCAGTATTCATATTAACTAAAGTTGCCATCTTTGCTGGAGTATCAATTCTGTATTCAGCCAGTTTATCATTAAAACGCTGATTGTTAAAATGATTATAAAAAAGATTCATGTTATTGACAATTTCTAAGTCTGACTTGTCACTAAGCGAAATAGGGCTTCTCTTTGACTACAATCACAYAATGGATTTAACACCTACCCCTGCAGGATGTGAATTTTTGGAGCTAAACAGATTTTTTTTTGTAATTTTGGGTGACATAGTAATGTGTTAAGAACCAAACAAGAACAAAGAAGTTAAACAGTTAGCAACTACACACCACAGTTACTGTTAGAAGGAGGAAATGCTGCGCTCCGGGTGGGATGTGGACATGGAGCATGCGTAACATACTGTACTGTATTTTTTTTTTAATTTA